TGGGTACGGGGAATTATATTAAAAAATTAGGTCAAAGGGTAATTATTTTAAATATCTATATAAGAATGAATCTATGAATTTATTAACGAATCTGCAAAATGATTTGGGCATGGCACGTGTTGATCAGAGAATGGTTACTCCTCCCTATTTAAGGAAGGGTTGATTCACCTCGGTAAGAAAGAAGAAAGGAAAAAATAGTGGGAGCTAAAAGGGTCTTTGATAGTGGAAAAAAAGAGTAAGGTATTAAAGTTAAGGTGGGTTATATTATACCTTGAGTCACCAAAATGTATTTTACTTATGTTTTGACTTACCAAAATCTATTTTATACAAGTTATGTTTTATTAAGATATTAATAAAAGTTATGTTTTATAAAGATTTCAGTTACGTGGATTATTTTCTAAACTCTATTTGTTAAAGCGAAACCCATGGATATGTTTGTTTTACTTTTAAAGAATATTTGATTATGACCTTATATATAATTATGTTTTGTAAGTACCACCACGGGAGTCTCATGCCTTGGGGGACTTTAATAACCCTTGGCCTCTGTTTGACCACTTTGTGGTCCTCTGTTTGTCATGGATCCATTGACCTCTGTTCCGTGCGGAGCAAAGTGCTGTGGCGGAGCTAAGTGCTACACTATTGTGGGAGCCACCTCTAGAATCCGTACGAGCCACCTCTTGAATCCGTACCTCTGTTCTGACTGTCACTTCTGTGACCTCTGCTCTGTTCTGTTCTGTTCAGTACCGTGGTTATGGTCATTTACTTACATAATTTCTGTATTTCAGTTTTGCTACTTAAATGATTTATGCTACTTACATGATTTGTTTATGTAAATGTTTTGGCTACATAACTATCCATGGTTATTTCGTGTCCCTTATACTCTTGGTATAATATTTCTCACTTTGCCATGTGTTTATAGTTGTTTACCAATTTTCAAGAATCAATGCACTTCAGAAATAGCTTTTTGGAAAGTCGGGTTGCAGAATAGGCACACACAGTATTTTTTTATTGATATTTTTCTATGTAAATATCGACCTTTTTGGTCAATAATTCTGTAATAAAAATAGAAGCTCCAATGATTATTTTGGTACCCTTACTTAAATATTACTTCCGCTCACGTTATTTGATTTGTTTATGAATTGGCCGTAGGTAACCTCAGTTACTGGCCATCACGATACTTAATCCTTGGGTACGGGGAGCGGGTCGTGACAAGTGGTATCAGAGCAATGGTTTATAAAATAAAAAAAATCATCATTGGAGCATAGGACACATGCACATTTACGAAGTGGGATAGCGGGTAATTAATACTGCATTATTATATTTTGTTCGTCGATTTAATTATATTATAATTTTATATGATTATATATAAATAATAATTTTTTTTTGTGTTCCTAATTTGTGAGGGATATTAGATATAATTTATATTTATTATAGCAAAAGAAGGACAAGAAAAGAAGGATGTCGGGCTCAAGTACCCACCAAAATTATAATATAATTAAATACATATAATTTTCAGTTCAGTATTCAAAAAAAAAATTATTTTGATGTTTTTTAAAAGTAGGTTCAAATTATAAAGATATTAATTTTGAAACTATTTTCCATCAATGAAAAGTTCATCTCAAATTTTTCAATTCTTGAATATAATTCTGTCATTGTGTTCTCATTTTTATTTATTTTTATCGTAAACAAACGAGTGAAAAGTTTTTAAAGTTGCTCCTTATTTCTTATTTTGGCCCAAAATAATTTTTGACAACTAGACAGTGCGTTATTTTTGATAAAGTTTTTTTTTTTGAGGTACTATTTTCTATCAGATTAATCATCTAAAAAATATAGATAAACAACAAATGTCTGTGTTTTCTTTTTGCAATTTCAAATTAACATGGAGTTAATTTGAACTTATAAAAGATATAGAACTTAAATTAAACCGTATATTGAGATTTTCACAAGAACTCTTCTTGTAACAACTCAGCTTTTTAATTATTTTGTAAAATTTATATTAATATTATTTAATTATAGTTAGAAAAATATACGATTGATTTTGTATTATTATGTGTAATTTTGTAAAATAATATAATTAGTAAAAAATTTAGGGGTCAAAGTATAAATAAATAATAATATTGATAATAATAATAATGGATGTGGTAGTAAAATAAATAATTAATTTTCTGTTAATATATGATAAAGTATAATTTAATTAAGAATTAATTAATTTATATAATCATATTAAAATATTGGGTCAAAAGATAATTATCTTAAATACCTATTAAAGATAAGATTAAATCTTTATAATTATTATTGAAATCTGTCACGTAGCGCCCTATTCTCCTATAAATAGGGAGGCGTGTCACGCCTAGAGAGAAAACAGAAAGAAGAAAAAAAAGGAAAAGAAAGAAAAGAAAGAAGAAAAGAAAGGAAAGGAGAAGGAAGAAAGGAAAGAGAGGAAGAAGGAAAAAATAGTGGGAGTTAAAAGGGTCTTTGATAGTAGAAAGAAAGAGTAAGGTATTAAAATTAAGGTGAGTTATATTATATTTTGAGTCACCAAAATGTATTTTACTTATGTTTTGACTTACCAAAATCTATTTTATACAAGTTATATTTTATTAGGATATTAATAAAAGTTTATGTTTTATAAAGATTTTAGTTACGTGGATTATTTTCTAAACTCTATTTGTTAAAGTGAAACCCATGGATATGTTTGTTTTACTTTTAAAGAATATTTGATTATAACCTTATATACAATTATATTTTGTAAGTACCACCACGGGAGTCCCGTGCCTTGGGGGACTTAAATAATCATTGGCCTCTGTTTGACCACTTTGTGGTCCTCTGTTTGTCATGGATCCATTGACCTCTGTTCCGTGCGGAGCAAAGTGCTGTGCGGAGCTAAGTGCTACACTATTGTGGGAGCCACCTCTAGAATCCGTACGAGTCACCTCTTGAATCCGTACCTATGTTCTGTGTGGACCAAAGTGTTGTGCGGAGCTAAATGCTACACTATTGTGGGAGCCACCTCTAAAATCCGTACGAGCCACCTCTTGAATCCGTATCTCTGTTCTGATTGTCACTTCTGTGACCTCTGCTCTGTTCTGTTCTGTTCTGTTCAGTACCATGGTTATGGTCATTTACTTACATAATTTTTGTATTTCAATTCTGCTACTTAAATGATTTCTGCTACTTACATGATATGTTTATGTAAATGTTTTGGCTACATAACTATCCATGATTATTTCGTGTCCCTTATACTCTTGGTATAATATTTCTCACTCTGCCATGTGTTTATAGTTGTTTACCAATTTTCAGGAATCAATGCACTTCAGAAATAGCTTTTTGGAAAGTCGGGTTGCGGAATAGACACACACAGTATTTTTTTATTGATATTTTTCTATGTAAATATCAACCTTTTTGGTCAATAATTCTGTAATAAAAATAGAAGCTCTAATGATTATTTTAGTACCTTTACTTAAATATTACTTCCGCTTGCGTTATTTGATTTGTTTATGAATTGGCCGTAGGTAACCTCAGTTACTAGCCATCACGATGCTTAACCCTTGGGTACGGGAAGCCGGTCATGACAACAACCATTCAAAAATATCTGTTAATAACAAATACAACCATCTATTATATGATAACCCCAAAAAAATATCAATAAAATTAACCACCCATTACATGATCACCATCTAAACACATACTACAAATTAATTTGGTAAAAAAATAAAAAAATAAAAATGTAAAAGATTTATCATTTTTATATAATTTTTTTTTTTATCTTAGGTGAGCATAAATAATTTTTAAAAATTAAAAAATAATTTTTTGACATTTATTTTTGTCAAATTAATTTATATTTTATCAAAATGACCACTTTGCTTTTGAAATGAAGCAACAATGTCTTCAATTGTCCTTATTTGGAATAAGATTTAAAATTCAAGGTCAAATGTATCACAATTAAAAAATCAGAGACTAAAGTAAAGGGAGCTTCTATTTGCACACACCAAATCCCCTCTTTGGACATCCTTCTCACTACACACACCAAAAAAATTAATTCCTAATTATTTTACACACTGCACACACATTTCATTCCACATCTACCTTCTCTCTCTCTCTCTCACACACACACACACCCCCCCAGACCCTCAAACCCAGCTCTCCCAACGGTGTAAATACACACATTGAAGCTGCATCTCTCATATTGCTCTCCCAACGGTGCAAATACACCCATTGAAGCTGCGCTGCATCTCTCACATTACCCTTTTTCCCACACTACCCATCTCTCTCCGTAGCTCCCTGCTTCACACAGCTTTCATCCCCAAAGCTGCATCCATCAAGAAGCATTGAATTCCAGCACATTTTCATCCCCAAAGAAGCATTGAATTCCAGCACATTTTCAATCTTCATTCGTAGTGAGGTTAGTTTACTTTTCAATTCTCATTCCTATTTGAATTTGTAATGTAGAGTTTTGTATTAAACCATCTTCAAAATGAACAAGTTGTTCGGAACTGGTTTTCCGAAAGTAAACAATTTGTTCAGACATAGAAATCCGAAATAATCATTAATTTCAACAGTAGATTTCCGAAAATTTTTCATTGTTTCAACAGTCAACTTTCGAATATTTTGAATTTGGACAACACTCAACTTCTGAAATTAAGTTTGTGTTTCGGTTTTCAACTTCCGAATAGAATATGTAGTTTCGATTTTCAACTTCCGAACAGTTTTTTTCCCCCCCTCTTCTTTTGTATATTCTTGTTTCAATTGTATAGTCATTAAGGTGCCGTTTATTATTTTTTGCAGATAATATGGATTCTGAATGTCAACAACGTGTCCCACCTACTGCTTTAAATAGACGACGTCGTGAATTGGATGTTGACCATGAACGAGGACGAGGGTGTAGGCGAGGACGAGGTCAAGGTCGTGGTCGAGGTTGTGATCTAGTTTCGGTAGAATATGATATCCCCAGTGCCAGTTAAAGTCGGAGCCGAAGCCAAAGACGAGTTCAAGGTTATGATATGCCTGACATTGCTGTGGAGGATGCCTCTTTACCCGATTCTTCTACTGTCCAGGAAGAGGACCTTACTCATGCTTTTCTAGGTGGACCGACTGATCCATCAATACTGCGGAGTTTCAATAGTCATGTCGCTGCAACTGTTTGTCACGGGGAGGTAAACATTCCTGAGTAGAAGTGAAATTCATTTGTATATGATTTTTTTTTTTTGTGTATGTGTATGTGTGTGTGTGTTGTATGGTAGTTTGTAATGAGATATTATTTGTGTTATAGGAACGAGGGCCCCTAAAGTGTCATAATCACTCTTCGAAGATCCTTGCATGGCCATGGTGGTCAGTAGACAACAACACCAGATTCAAAGCCATTATTGAGCAGTCTGGGCTGTCACAGTTAGCTCATTGCACTTATCGGTTCGTCAACAAGCTTCTAATCTCCAGTTTTGTTGAGAGATGGCAACCTGAGACGAACACATTTCACATGACAGTTGGTGAGATGACCTTGACCCTGGATGATGTTGGCACTATTCTTGGCCTTCCCATTGTAAGCAAATCAGTCAGCGTTCCAGATATGATAGATCATCATGGAGTTACACTACTGGTTTATGGCTTGGGGATTATTGAACGTGTAGCACATGAAGAGGTTTCTACTTCTGGTAGGAATTCAGTCAGGCTTGAGTGGTTGTGAAGTCAGTTTGCTGGTGTCACAGATTTAGACCCAGAGGAGGCTATGCAGTGCGCTACTAGAGCTTATTTGCTGTTTCTGTTGGGATGTACGCTCTTCAGTGACAAGAGTGGCGGCAGGGTTCCTGTTGTTTACCTTGGCTTATTGATGGATTTGGGATCCATTCATACTTACGCCTGGGGTGCTGCTGCATTAGCATTTTTATACAGACAGTTAGGGCATGCTAGCCGGTCTGGTGTTAAGCAGATGGGTGGTTATATGACTCTTTTGGAGGCGTAGATTTATGAACACTTCCGAGCATTCCTACCTCACCAGAACATGGGCTACAATGAAAACATGCCACACGTGTACCATTAGGCATCTAGGAGAGAGGCGGGTTCCTCCATTGATCATTTGAAATCTTTTTGAGCAGAGCTTGACAGTTTAGTAGCGACTGATGTAAGTTTACTCGTCCTCAGATAATTTTAACACTTTCTATTTATCTTACCCTTTATAAACTTTAATTCAAAAACACTTTACGTTTACAAGTTATTTGGGATCTAAGCCACAGTTGCAGAGACCGGCATCCATGCAACCCGATTACGTTCTCCCATGGATGCTTAAAGTGCTTAGACATGGTCGAACCCTATCATCCAGATAGAGTTCTGAGGCAGTTTGACAGGGTTCAAACCATCCCAGATGCACCGCTAGCTCCCAGTCGTAGTGCTCGAGGCAACATATCTGCACGATATACAATCATGTATAGCTACTTGGATAGGATCTGGGAGGCTTGGGATAACCACGTGTTATCTGAGCAGTAGAGGAGCACACCAGTTCGTCAGCCTTGGGAATGTGTACCGGGTTACATGGATTGGTATAAGAATATCACGCACCTATATGTTGAGCACACTGATGAACCGCGTGTCCATGACCATCAGGATTTCAGTCAACATGTCGATGTAATATATTATCCTCTTTTATGCATTTGTAACTTACTTTTTATTTTCTGATATGTTCCCTAAAATGTGATATTCTTTTCAAATGCAGCCTATTGCACATGCACTGCAGATTTCACATCCTATTATTGAGGCTGGTTATGAGAAGGGGATTCAACATCCTCATCGACTTTACCAGGCTATCGAGACTATGACGCATGTCCTTGAAAGTCAGCACATTGGCGAAGCTGGACCTAGTTATACTGGAGGTCGCATTTCATCTCCGACATTGACATACAGTCGTAGGCCTAGGCGTAGGCATACAGCTGATTCGTGACATGTTATTTGTTAGTTGATGAATTTTTTGTGGTGTTTTTTGTAAGATGATATTGTTGTAATAGTAACAATGATTAATATTTTCTTATTAGAATGAAATGGCAACAATGGTTGATACCATTGAAAATGACATTTTATTATTAGAATGGAATGGTAACAATGGTCGTTGATTTTGTAAATGATATTTTCTTATTACAATGGAATGGTAACAATGGTCGATAACATTCAATCCATGCCACAGAACACATCAACATCAAAAACACATCCATTAATTTCTTCCTTCCATAATTCTAACATTGTCAAATGCATACATGTGTCATGCGACATCAACAACATCAAATGTCTCTCGAGTAGCTACAATATCATGAATAATGTCCTTAAAATGTTAAATGCGGTGCACATATGCATCATCCCATTCGACAGCGCAAGTGTCACGACCCAAACCCGGCCCTATGGGTTAGTACCGTAACGGCCAGTAATCCGAGATTACCAAAGGCCTGCAGAACAGTAATACAGTAAAACAGAGTACAGGGCCTGGCGAAAGCCAATACAGTAAATGAATAATGTCCATTGAGCTGTGACAGTCTGCATGCCAAAAGAGATTTTCATGCATTTACATATACAAACAGTACAGTCTATACAAAATTTACAGTCACACAGTAAAGGGACCTAATCCCTCGATAGCAGTACGGTAAACATTCAGTCTATACAGAACAGTTAGACAGTACAGAAGGGGAATTCCTAAAACACCCCTAAGCCTTAGCAGATAGGCTCGGAACCTCGCAGTGAGGCACATAGGCTGGCTTGACAAAACTGGAGTCTAACCCACGCTCCTAGCTCCGGTCTGGTGGCTGAGCACCTACATATATATATAAACAGTGAGCTAAAGCCCAGTGAATAACATAATGCGTAAAGGGGTTAAGAATGAATGTCCTCACAGTAATGAAATCAGTTCATTAAACAATACTTCAGTCTTTCGGTCAGAACAGTTATTCAGTCATATGTGGTGCATCCATTAGCATAGCAGTAAACAGTAGGTCTTAAAGACCGAACAGTAATGATGGCCATCAGTCAGTAAACAGTAGTGGTTCCACGAGGGAACCGATAGAGATCTCTGTAACAGTAACAGTAACAGTAACAGTAGATGCCAAGGATGCCACAGTACAGTTTAGAATATAGGACATACATTCATTCAGTAAACAATATCAGTTCAGTAAACAGTTCAGTTCAGTATTCAGAAGATAATCATTTGAACATATCTTTACACAATTGTTACTCACAGAGTTTGGGCTACAGTAGGCTAGAGCGTGTCTCCCCAGCGCCAACCCTACACAGTTAACAGATTAAACACACTAAGCTACACAGCTGGGAAAGATTAATATTTAACCCCTAATGCCTCGTGTGTGTTCTACATCTATATCCTTAACAAGATGTCTACAACTAGGCCTAAGAATGCCTAGAATGAGATGAGGATGCAAAGATGCACATTTAAAGCATTTTTAGAAAAACAGAGTCCCGCTCGAGCGCAGGTTTCCCCGCTCGAGCGGTCATGCAATAAAGGTACACGCTCGAGCGTAAACTTTCCCACTCGAGCGTACTGTAAAAAGTACTGGATGGCGAAATCTCCGCTCGACGCCCGCTCGAGCTGAGATATGACTCCGCTCGAGCGCCCAATCCTCCGCTCGAGCGGACTGTAAAACAGTGCAGAGAGATGCTGGATGCTCGGATTCCACGCTCGAGCGGCACTTCCCCCGCCGAGCGGAAGTGCGAAATCTGGAAAACCCAGATTGCACCTCCAAGCTCAAAACCAAGTTGTTAACAACTCAAACCGATCCTCTTGGGCTCATTTTCTGAAAACTCTTTATAAACATATAGAATATCATAGTTCAAAGCTCAATTTGAGAAATCAAAGCCCAAGGGTTTTTAATTTCAAACCCAATTTCAAACAATTTTCCAAGAACAATCCTTAAACATGACATGCAAACATGCATGAATTCAAATCATTTCAAAGCTTCAATTTGATGCTCTAAGGAGCCAATTCTTTTCAAAACATGGTGAAATCATGGACTTAACATGATTATGAACATGCATGTAACCTTTGCCCATGAAAACAAACCTCAAACATCTACAATACAAAACATGCATGCATGAAAAATGAGCTGTCAAATCAACAACAATGAGCCAAAATATGACTTAGTTCTACAATGAAGCAGACTCATGCAAAGAACTAGCTCCAATGGCAACAATAAGAAGGTGAGTTTCCTACCTTTCTTGTTATTCAAGGTTCTAGGGGCTCAAATGTTGAAATCTAACATTCTCTCTCTGG